GCTCTGCGCCTCCCATGCCCCAGCCCCCCTGCTTCCTTCAGGTTGAATCTCAGAACATCTTGCAGGTTTGGTCCTTGCAAACATCTCCCCCAGGGGCTCTGAATTACGAACTACGCAGCCGGGCATCCTCCCTGCCCCAAAGGAACAGCAGAGCCAGTTCTTGGACTGCACTAGGGCGGGGGGGAAATCCCAGGGGAGAGGTGAGAGGGAGAATCAGGTCATGGCAGGGGGAGCAGTTAGTATTTTTGGGAACAGGCCTCACCATGTGCTGGCTAAGAGCTGTCTCTGCCCGGGCAGTATCTCCCCAGGGCAGGGAGCAGGCTTTGCTTTTCAGTTTGTATAAATCTTTCACCTTTTACTAAAAATTTCCATGGGGAGAAGCTGTGATGAGTTCTCAGCCAATTTTCTGAGATCCTGCTTCAGCTGATCTGCCTTAGCGTGTATTAAAATAGATGCGTCGTTACTACAGCTACTACAAGAGAGCTGCAGTTTAATCTCTTGCTTGTCGGGTATCAGATGAGATGTGTGTCTGTGTGTGCAGTTCACAGCAGTGTGTGCAAGTTCAGTGATGTGACCAGCTCACTGGGATCCATGGTGCTCACGTGGCTTCCCTGCAACTTGTGCATTGCCCCCTGACAGCACCCAGGGCAGATGGGCCCGGGCAGGGTGAGGCACTCGACCCAGGGGCCTCAGGGCTCAGCAGGCAGAGCTAGGGTGAATGGAAACTGAGCACGGCCGGTTGCAAAGCCCTGAGCATAGGGTTTTGCCACTCTGAAGAAGTGCGAGGATGTAGCAGCCCGCCAAAGGGAAACATGGGCATGGGGGGAGCTCGGTGGTGGCACCCTGGCTGTTCTGACAAGTGATTAGCAGCGAGTAGCAATTCTTAACTATATCCTGGACACGAGTCCCTTCCACAGGGGCTTTATGGTGCCCAAGACATGCAGTCTGCCACCCATGCTGTCCAGTCACCTTGACCTCATGAGCAGGTGCTTCTCCCCTGCCCAAAGCCATGCCAGGGTCAAGCCCATGCTGTGGCTTCTCTTCATCTCACATAAAACTTTCACCTTTAGTGTTTTGACTTTGGGCAGAGAGCTTGGACTTTGTTAGCAAGCTCTAATTCTGCTTGGGGGGTTAAGGAAGGATTTGGCAAGGAACAGAACAGGAGATGGGGCGAGAGTCAACAGGATGACCAATACGTGCCAGCTGCTCGTGCATGTGTCAGCAAGGATGCCATTTCAGGCAGAGGCAATGAACTTGAATATATGTTGCAACTGGACTTCAGTCACCCGCTGCTCCAAAACAATTAGAGGTAAAAGCACCTACGTTGAACACCTTCAAGAGCCAATTGGATGCTTATCTTGCTGGGAGCCTGTGACCCCAGCTGACTTCCTGCCCCTGGGGCAGGGGGGCTGGGCTCGATGATCTTCCGAGGTCCCTTCTAGCCCTAATGTCTATGAAATCTATGAAAACCTGAAGAGCTGGTGGGACTGCTATGGCTGCGGGATGTACTGCAGGTGAGCTGGGAAAGAAGAGCATTGTGAAGGCACATGCTTCTCCTCAGAAGGAGAAACTCTGCGAGTCACTGGCACAGTTCGGGAAGGGACAGCCTGCTGGACAGCTGGGGACTTCAACTGTGTGCTGGTGGCAGAGGACAGGCAGAGACTGAAAAGGGGAGCAGGAGGGGTGGATAGGTCATCGCGGCTTTTAGCAGAGATTATGCAGGGCTCTGGGTTCATAGATGCAGGGAAGGAGGCTCAGGGACCAAGAGGAGCATCTGGTGCTGGCAGCAAGGCTGGAAATAAGCAGGGAAATGCAGCAGAGTAAGGGTTTGGACCTTCCTGGGGCCACAGACGAGGAGAGCACCTACAGCTCCTGCAGGAAGAGCAGCTAGAACCATGCCGTGCGTGAGGACAGCTCAGGGCCACCCCTGGCACAGGCAAGGTGCCAGCGCAGCGCTAGGGAGCCTGGAGGTGCCTGTGGGCAGGTGACACAGCTGGGCTATGCCAGGCTCCCACTGGAGGCATCTCCCTCCTGTGCCCCCTTTTTTTGGTGCCAACTCGGGGGGTGGGCTCCAAGCTGTCCAACACCAGAGTGACCAAACAAGGGAGCACAGGCGAGCGAAGCTACCAAGAACCACTCGGAGACACTGTAGTAAGGCCAAAACATTTATTTATTTTAAACAAGCTTAAGAAAATGCTGATTTTCCCCCCCTCCTCCCCACCCCCAATTGTGCAGAGCCTCATGGCTATGCAACATTAAAATGTGGCAGGAAGCCTAAACGATTCTGTGGGCTGGAGGACAGGTGCCGACCTGGCTTCACCACGACGCGCTCGAAAAGGAGGCAGCTCCCCCTGCCAGCCCTCCCCACTTCCAAGGCTCTTGAGAGAGCGGTGCCTGCTAAAGGGGCCAGAGACAGCGCAGCTTGGCACAAGGCCAACATGGTGCCTTGCTAGGGGACAACCCCAGGGATACTGGGTGTCCCAGTTGAGGGAGAAATGCCAAAATCAGTGACAGACACACAGACAAGAGCTTTGCTAGTGAACCAGGGGCTGATACGTTTACTGCGGCTTCCTCTTGCTCATCTGCTGGCTGGCCTGCTCCTCCATCTGCATGGCGAGCTGCAGGGACTCCAGTGTGTCTGCAAAAAGGGGGAGAAAGTTAAGTTCTCAGCTGCGGTAGTTCAAGAGCCCCCGACTCCAGCTTGGGCAGCCCCACGAATGCCAGAGCTGGCGACAGTCCCTTGCTCTCTCCCTCCTACACCATGTCAGGGGGAGGCAGATTCCCCCACTGAGCTCTGCCATGGGCCAGACACAGACTGTGCAGCCGGCAAGCTGGGATGCTTCCAGCCCCCACACTAGGCTGGCCGTGCAGGGAGTCAGGGGCCTCCAAGCACCACTCCATGAATGAGTAGGAGATGCCAGGGAGAATCCCACTGGTCAGTGCAGGCTCCTGGATGCTGCCTTCAGTGCCACCCCCCACCCGGCCCTCCTGCCAGCCACAGGACATGCACAAGGGAGCAGGAGGCATCCGGAAGGGGACCGGTACCTAGGATCCCGAGGGCACGCCTCGTCTCCTCCTTCAGCAGGCACACGGCTTGGCTGACAAAGGTCTCCAGGTCGTAGTCCGGCTGCTCCGTCATTTCCAGCAGGTTGTCGCACTGGGTCATTTTCTGCATTCAGGAGTGAGGTGTAAGGAGAGGGACAGGTGTTAATGCAGCCATTGCCTGTGATGCTGATGAGCAGTCTGGGGCCAAGGGCAGCACCAGCAGCAAGGGCAGGCCAAAGGGCAGTGCTCTGAGCCACTTGTTCTGAGCCTTAAGTGCAGCCAGCTGCTCCAGCTTGAACCCTGCTCCCCCAGGTCACGGCGTGGGAGATGTGGCCAAGCTGAACCGTTTTGAGACCATGTGCATCTAAACAGCCAGATCAGGACAGCTGGTGCACATGTGCATGTGCGTGCAGGCTCAGAACTGGCGCTCTGAGAGGTAGGGTGTGTGCACATGCACAGGGGCCTTAATGACGCTGAGAACCACTGGTCTGTGCCCCAAGTTTGCAGCGTCTTGGTGCCAACACAAATCAGTTGATGTGAAAAGTAATGGGTAAGAGAAAGGGCTGGGCATTGTCCAACACATTGCCCAGGGTCCATCCCCACCCCAGCTCCCAGGCCGCCCCGGTTGCTTATCGTTATTGGCAGTGCACCCCTCCCCTCACCTGTCTCAGCTCCCGGAGTTCCTCCACAGCCTTCTCCTCCAGCTCGCTGATCTGCGTCATGGCGTAGCGGAAGCTGGACATGTGGGGAGAGAGCTCCTCTTCGTCCTTGCCCAGCTGCTGTTTTGTGGGGAGAGCAGACCCAGGTGAGCCCAGAGACATCATTCGCCCTGCGCCAAACCCAGGCGGCTCCTCCCCTGCCAGCCACGTACCTCAAGTTGCGGGCCTGACCCTTCCTCGCTGGTCTCTGCCTCCTCGCTCTCTGTCTCCATGTGGGTCTGCATCTCGCCGGCACCTCCATTGTGAGGGCTGAGCTCTTTCACCCTGGGAAGGGGAAGGATTGCATCAGGGCCGGGCTGAGGGTAACCCAGGAGCTGCTGAGAACAGCTCTGCGACAACCAGGCTCTATGCAGGGAAGGAAGCTGCCATCAGCGACTGCAATGCGCTTCCCCCATGCCCGTTCTGTGTGGCAGTCCCCGGGCCCCCTCCTGTCACCGAATCGCCCACAGTCCCTGTGGCTGACAAGCTGCCCAGGTCACTGGCGCTCTGCTCCATGTGGAACTGAGCCTCTCTCTGATCAAACCAACCTGCTGGTGCCAGCTGGAGCCGGATGTGAACCAGACACGGAGATCTGCTCCCCCATGCCCCGGGCATGCTCTACTGAGGCCATGACGCACAAGAGCCTCCATGCACTGACCTGGCACAGTCCCAAGGGAGCTGCAGTCTGTTGTCCACAGCTGCTACGTCCACCTGCCAGCTCCTTGCCCCGAAGCCACGAGGGATCTGGGCCAGGGACTGCCAGTTGGGGCGTATGAGCCAGGTGGGCCGAGTCAACAAAGCACCGGAGAGGGCAAGGGCAAAAAGCCTGGGCCCTCCTGGTTGTCGGCAGCAGGCTGGAGGCTGTGGCTGCCCTGGGTCACCAGGGGGGCCTGAGCAGGGAAGAGCTCCCCCCTTGCCCCAGAGGCAGCCAGGGTTGGGGCTTCAGTGCATCTCTGCAGCCCCGGCCCAACAGTCCCCCCAGAACCAGGCCAACAGCATTGCTTCATACAAGAGATCTGTCGGTCCAGAGGCCGAGTCCCTGGTGTGGTAGGCGGTGTGGCACACGTGTGGGATATGGGACGCCTGAGCTCACGCCCGTTCCCAGGGCAGCACCCTGACTAGGGAGGGGCCTGGTGCTGGCAGAAGAGTCGCAGCTGAGTTGGTTCAGAGACAAGTGCCTCCCCCTGGCCTGGCACTCGGAGCCTGCTCGTGGATCCAACCGAGACAGCGTGTAAGGGCCTGCGGGAGCCCGCCAAGTCCAACCCCAGCCCCAAGTCATCCAAAACGATTACTGGGGAAGAGGGGAGTCAGCCCGACCTCCCAGCATCCCATCAACCCCCCACACAGGCTGCTGGCTTCTGCACTGCTCTCCGAGGCGCCTGAATCACCCTGTGGGTCGAAGGCTTGGGCACCAGTTGAGCCCAGAGATGCCACGAGGCTGCAAGGGGCTTGAGTCAGGCATTGTGAAGCCCAAGTCGGATTAGAGATGAGGGAAGAGTCAGCAGGAGACTGAGAAGGCTTGGCCTCTTCAGCTGGGAAAGCAGACGGATGAGAGGTGCAAGAGAGGGCGACAGCAGCACGAAGAATGTGAACAAAAACAGAACTGCTCATCACTTCCCAGAACGCTAGAACCAAGGGGCACTTCCCGAGATTGGCAGATGGGTTTAAAACTAACAAGACTAACTAAGGAGGCTTGTCAGTGAGGCCCTGAACAGCCACAACCCAAAGGGGAGGGGAGTTCAGGACAAGTGGTTGCTCCTCAAGGGAGCAATCCTGAATGCGCAAGCAAAGTCTCTCTCATCTCGGAGGAAAGGCAGCAGGAGGGCACAGCAGCCCGCTTGGCTCTCCAGGGAACTGGCAGACCTCCTGTGTCTTAAAAGGAAGACCCACAAAGGATGGAGGACTGGAACCGCTACCAAGGAAGAGTACTCTGCATTAGTCTGGACTTGCAGAGAGCAAATCAGGAAAGCCAAGGCTGCGATGGAACTCCAGCTAGCTACAAATATCAAGGACAATAAAAAGTCCTTTTTTAGGTATGTGGGGAGCTGGAGGAAAAGCAAGGGCAACACTGGACCCCTGCTAAACCAGATAGGACAGCTGACAACTGATGCCCAGGAAAAAGTGAACTTGCTAAACGGGTACTATGTGTCAGTTTATCACCAGTCCCACGGGATGGCCCTGCCCACTGTGGGTCAGGGAGGCCCGGGCGAGGGAGATTCCTTGCCCTCCATCGAAGCTGACCTCATGAAGGAACACCTTGACAGGCTGGACACCTTCAAGTCAGCTGGTCCTGATCGTTTACACTCAAGGGTACTGAAAGAGCTGACAGGCATCATAGCTCAGCCCCTGGCATGGATCTTCGAGAGCTCCTGGTGCTCTGGTGTAGTGCCCAAAGAGTGGAAGAGGGCCAATGTGGGGCCCATCTTCAAGAAAGGGAGGAAAGTGGATCCAGCTAACTACAGGCCCATCAGCATGACCTGTATCCTGGGGAAGGTCTTAGAAAAGATCAAAGAGGCCATTCTTAACAGACAGGCTGACGGCAACATCCTGAGGGATACCCAGCACGGGTTTGCTGCGGGTAGGTCTTGCTTGACCAATCTCATTTCTCTCTATAACCAGGTGACCTATCACCTGGACAAGGGAGAAGAG